TGTGTGTTTGTTTGTGTTTGTGTGTGTGTGTGTGTGTGTGTGTGTGTGTGTGTGTGTGTGTGTGTGTGCGCGCGTGTGTGTGTGTGCGTGCGCGTGTGTGTGTGTGTGTGCGCGCGCGTGGAAAAAAACACTACCCTTTTTTCTGGGGATGTCCCATTCGACTTTATGTTCCCTGGCTTTCATCGTTCTTACAAAAAAAATTGGCTCCCTCTCTATCATTTGCATTTGATCCCAATCCAAATGTGCTTTAAAAGCCTATAAAGCTTTGCTGTCTTAACACTTTCAAATTTAGAAGATTGTGGTAGGTTGGCGGTGAATGAATTCTCTGCATGGTTTTGAGTTATTTATATGTTGTCCATGCTAAATATAGATAGATAGATTGTTGCTGTGTTGTGAAAGCATGAAAGTAATAGCTTATAAATGACGAATGGGAGAAGGTAGGCTCCCAACAGCCATGCATCACAGTTAGGGCTCCCAACACGGCCATTACAAAAGGTTGTATGTGCTTTAAGGATGCCACAATAACTACAGGGACTACTGTGTGCATGACATGAAGACCAGTGATGAATGTTTTTATGGCACTCACCTCATATCACTTGACTTCCACTTTATTTTCCATTTCGCTGTGCCTCCTGTGTTGTTCCTTAAAAAGATATTGATGTATCTGCGTGATGTCATTGGTAACATATAACCTAGAAAGTACAAAACCCGATTCCAGTGAAGTTGGAATGTTATTAAAATGTACTGTACATAAAATTAGAATACAGTCAATGCTTTACAGCCTCATATTTACACATCTGTGAAGGCACCATTATCACTGAAATGTACCTACAGGTTTTGGAGCAACATATACGCCGTTTTTTTCTGGGACATCTCTGCTCATTTCAGCAAACCACAGCTAAGCCATATTCGCCATGTGTTGAAACCATGTGACTTTGTGGTAAAAAAGTGCACGACTGGCCTGCCAGCAGTCCAGACCTGCCTCTCATTGAAAATATATGCCGCATTATCAAGGGCAAACTACATGGCCTTGGCATATGCTAATAAGGCTTTTTTTTTACTAACTGATACTGTAGCTATTCATCATTGTGTTTGATTCTTTTAGGGTGATGTTGGCCCCCCTGGTCCCCCCGGTCCTGTAAGTAAACGTATATTTAATGTGTTTTAAAGTCTTTGTTAATTATCATGAGTGACAAGCAAATTAATGTATTCGATTCACACTGTACACCACACAATAAGACAAGTTACAGTACTTTTGAATGCATAATCGTTTGTGAATTGCTGACCCTTGCCACCCAGCGGTGTTGAGCTTATGTGTCTTGTTTAAGCAGAGAGGAGTCCTGCATCGTTTTACTCTTCATTCCCAGCATCCTCAACTGGCATCAATTTCAGTTTCATGCACGCAGGCCAGGCTGATCGTGAACCAAGCTCACGTTTCCCCACATTGATCTCTCTGCAGGGTGTCATGTGATGTATTTTAATTATGACTGACATGTAGGCAGTTTGCAAAACTTCAGAATTCAGTTTCAAAGTGTGGAAAAGGTTGCTGGAGTTTTTTTCTTGGATATACGTTCTAATTGGAGGTGCAAAGAAAACCAAACTCTGCTTTGCTGAGTAGTTTGCCGAACAGTTGATAATACATATGGACGTAAATAAATGCATGAATGTATGAATCTGTTCATTGTTTTGATGTGTTTTAAGGTTCAAAGCACAGGTGGGGTGATTTGTTTATTTTGTTTATTTATTTATTTCTATTCTGGGTGGTTTTAAATACTTTCACCACTGAGAACTGTGCACTTGTCTCTTTACTTAAAATTTCACTTCAGTGGAAGAGAGAATTGTTCCTCATGGTCAAAACTGAAAGTCTCCATCGTGTTCAATGTTGTGTAGTGAGCTGTGGGCCACCCAGGATATTGCAGATGTATTCAGCAGCACACGCAAGAGAAGAAAACATTAGTCATTTGATAAATGAGGCTGTTTGAACATTTAGTACCAGTCTCTGTCTGTGCTCTCTCCCTTCCTGTGGCAGATAATTTTGGCAGTTAAGCATCGATTTCCCTTACACAGCAGAAGCACGGGTTCAGATCATTACCCTCCCTCCATAAACCTTCTTGTGCCTCTGTGTATTAGTGGCAGGGAGGTGCAGTGGTTTTAACAGCGCACACTGCATCATTCTCCCCGATGGCCTTAACGTGGCAAAACAGGCTTTTGAGCTCAGACATTTTTTTTTTTTTTTTTTTTTACCGCCGCCCCCCTCCCTTT